GAGTTTCTCATCGACCTCGTGTCCGAGCACGACGGTCTCACACTTGGCACCGCGGTCGAGCTCGTGGTGTTGGCCAAGCGGGTGAGCATCGAGCGTCTCCGTCCCGATGCCGAGCGCGTGATCGCCAAAACGCTCAAGACGTCGGCGGCCGCGGCGTCGCGCTTCCACGCCAGCGTCCGTGCCCAGTTTACGTGTGCGCTCTTCCCTGTCGTCTTCATGGAACCGAGGGCACTGGATGCTAGCCTCACGCTCCTCCAGGACAGGTTGGTCGGCGTGCACGAGTGCATTGCACCCAATTGGCGCGTCATCCTGGCGGACGGGCAGTTTGGCCGTAGCTGGGCCGAGCCGCACGAGCTCGCGTCATCGCTGTGGGACTTGCACCAAACGTTTTTTGGTCACATTTTGCCGCTGCTCACGTTCCACGTGCGCGTCCCCAACCCCTTGATGACTGCCCACGGCCCGTCGACGAGCCCGTTTCTCGAGCTTCTTCGGGCGTATGTCGCGTCCAAGGACATCTCGGTGGCCCTTCTCTTTGCCTGCAATGCGCTTTTGGTGAGCATCTTGTCTACGCAAGGCGCGCCAAGTGATAGGATCCACTGCGCCAAGGTCGTCGACGACACGCGTTGGACGATCGACCGCCACGCCACCCAGATGCAAGCCGATCGTGGCATTGTGGACGGTCTACTCGTGGCAGCGCCGACCATGCACAACGTCAAGGTGGTCCTTGGCTGGTTTGACGACATCCGACGCATAACGTCGGCCAACAAGTACTTTAGCCAAAAGGAAGTCGACCGCGCGTGGTTCAACCCGTACATGGCGGGCCAAGTTCTTCTCTCGATGAATATGGACATTACGTTCACCTTGGGCTTGACGGCGATCGATGACATTGGCCAAGCGCGTACGATACTCCACTTTTACAACGCGCTCCGCGTCCTCGACAAGATCCCACCGAACAGAGACCTCGACAACTTGGTCACCATGTACGAGCGCGGCAAGTCGGTGTGGGTCGGCGGCCGCCCTACCGCCCGTGGCAATATTCTAAAAGCATATTTGCTCGCGTGGGGCTACAACCCGTATACGACCGCGACCATGGCGGCCGGCATTTGCGACGACCACGAAGAGTACGTTGCCAAAGGCGCGCTGCGCGACCGCATGGACCACCGCAGTGCGGCGCAGAGGGCGTCGACGCCGCACAACACGTCTCGGAAGAAGCTCGAACCGACCAAGCCCGCGCACGTGAGCAAGGCGTATCGCTACGTGACACGGACAATGTTGCCGGACGACGTGGACGCCACGCGCCTTCCGAGTGCCTTTGCCATTCGGGCCATCGTCCTCAGCGACTTTGACGCGTTTTTATACCTCGACCTCAAACGGGTCGGCCAGCTCTTTCGTGAAGCGTGGAGGGAATGCTCCACACCACAGTCGCGACTCACGTCTACAGTGGTCCGTGGCACGAGACGGACGTCCACGCCCGCCATCAGAGTGAAATCATGGTTTCCCAAACGCTCCTCGCGCTCTGCGACTGCAAACCCGACGACCATCGCCTTGTCCAAATTGCCAAAGTGTTGACGCACGTCGCGAACCGCATGCACGAGATGCACTGCCTCGCGTAGACGGTCGTAGCACTGTCGCTCCATGGTCGTTGCGGTTGCTAACCATAGATCAAGGGACACGTGAGGAGCATCGATACAGCTACCATATCGTGCGCGCCGGTCTCGTTGCATCGTCGCGCTCGACCAAACCAAGGTGCAAGAAGGGCAGACATGGTCGGAGGGGGCTTCCTCTCGAGCCAGAAACGAATGACTTTGGAGTTGAAGTGTAACGAGTGGCTTTTGGACGGCGCCGTTGAGGCACTGCTACTGCACGTGATGAGGAAGCGTAAGCCTTGGACAAGACCCGGTGGTCGGGAGAAGGCAACAGTGAAAGTGATCATTGGAACAGTGAAAGTGATCATTGGAAAGAAATACTAGTACGACAAAAGACTAACCTAGACTGACTATGCTGGATACGATGAACTAGACTAAGGGCATGGGACGAGGCGTGAGCAAACCGGACGACGATCGCTGCAAAGACACCGAATGGACGTTGTGCAGCGTGCGACGCGGCGGGCGTTGGCGCAAGCTGTCGGCACGCGGTGGAGCCGGGGTACGAGGCAACGGCGCGTTGTGCGTGAATGGGCCGCAAGTGGAAGCACGAGTGGCGGCCGCAAAGGAGGCAGTAGCCGTAGCGACTGCAGGCGACGAAGCTCAAGCGCGAGGCGCATGAGACGGCACTTGTTGGTTGCGTTCCATCGAGCGCTGCTGGTTGAGACGAGGCGCATCATGAGCGACGCGGCGACGACGGTCATCGAACTCGTGGAGGACGCGCGAGCTGTGTGCGAGGCCGGTAATCTTGGAGGCGGGCTCCCAAGACGCATGTTCGTAGCTTTCGCCGTGCCAGGCGACGAGGTAATGATGCTCGCTTGGCGCACGTCTTCATCGAGGATGGCTTCGACCAAGAGCATCGGGTTGCCATCTTCATCGAGCATCGTGGGCACTGCCTTGGGAATCGACGCGTGATGAAGCGATCGGGCGTGTCCTTGGCGAGCTTGAGACGGTCGACGTTGGTCGCCTGCATCCCGTCTTCAACGTCGACCGTCTCAAGCTCGCCAAGGATCGCTTCATCATGCGTCGATTCCCAAGGCAGTGCCCACGATGCTCGATGAAGATGGCAACCCGATGCTCTTGGTCGAAGCCATCCTCGATGAAGACGTGCGCCAAGCGAGCATCATTACCTCGTCGCCTGGCACGGCGAAAGCTACGAACATGCGTCTTGGGAGCCCGCCTCCAAGATTACCGGCCTCGCACACAGCTCGCGCGTCCTCCGCGAGTTCGACGACCGTCGTCGCCGCGTCGCTCATGATGCGCCTCGTCTCAACCAGCAGCGCTCGATGGAACGCAACCAACGAGTGCCACCAAATGTAACGAGTGGCTCTTGGACGTCGCCAAGACCCGGTGGTCGAGAGAAGGCAAAACTGAATGTGATCGTTGGAAAGAAATACGGCAGAAGACTAACCTCGACTGACTATGCTGGATACGATGAACTAGACTAAGGGCATACTTCAACGTGGCAAGCCGAAGCAACGTGCAAAGGCGCAGAGGATGATGGGACTTGGACTGATATGGATGCAAGACGAACGAAACTGAAGACAAGACGACACGGCGTCGGTGACGGTGCACAGTGACCCACCCGTTCGGGAGCGATCGTGGTAGTCGGGGGCTTACCTTGTTACATGAAGACTCTGCATCCGACGAGGTCTTTAAGACTGAGACTCGTGATTTTTTGAGTTTTGAGTTTGTCATTTTGCCACTGACGTCATGTCGCATAGCAACACTGCTACTAAGCGCGCGACGACAGAGCGTCGGCCCAGAAAAGCCTGCGCACCGCAGCGGAGGTAGTGCGTTGGCTTTTGTTGCGCGAGTCCCGGTCGTTCACGTGATAGGGCTTGAGAGTAGATGGCACGCTTCGGCCGCGCCAAGCCTGGTGCGCCTCCAGCAACGTCGCCAGCGCGGCGAGATTGGCATTTACACAATAATATTTTAGTGTTGACAATCTACCAGTCGTACGTGGTGGATCCGTCGGAGCCCATCATGGAGGCCATCGCCGCGTCACGAATGGCGGTGATGCGCTGTGTCTTTTGCGTAAGCTCGGTGGCGTCGCGCTGGCGGGCAAAGTGGTCGCGCAGCGCCGAGGCCGTGACTTGTCCTGGCTGACGCACCTTGCATACGAACGCCGCGTCGACGACCTCGTCGTACTCCAAGTCGTGCTCGAGCTCGAAATTGTCGTCATGACGTGGCGACGTGGTGTGCTGCAGCTGCAACTGCAGCGGATGACGACGCACCCGCTTGAGCATGCGGTCGCACGCGTTCCAGTCGCCAACGGCAAACGTGACGCGCACGGGGTCCTTGAGGTACCGCTCAAAGTCGCGGCAATGGTCGCAGCACGCCGGCACAGCAATGTTGAGAAGCGCATAGTCGGTGAGACGCTGCACAGAGGGCGCGTTGGCGACGTCTGCCAAGTAGACGCGCGCGAGTCGCGAGAGCAAGCGCGCCTCAGACGGCACCAGCGCTTGCAACTCGATCACGACATCGCCGAGCGTCGTTCGAATGGCGTCGCGCCCCAGCGCCGCAAGCCACGTGGCCATGAACGTCATCAAGTGGACGCGGTCAAACTGGGCAAAATATGTCAGCGCCGAGACTGCGTTGAGCACGGGCCAGGGCCGGGACCGACCGATCCGGCCTTGGTTGGCGACGATACTGTCGCCCGCCGCGTCCAGCAGCAGCTCCGAGCACTGTTGGCGAATGGCGGGCGAGGCAATCTCGGGCCAGAGCTGCACGAACCCGAGAATCGACGGAGCAAGCGCCAAGTGCCGATCAAATGTAAGCTGGTCCAGCACGGCCGTGAACCGGTGGCCGACGGCGGCGACCACCAACAGCGACGACACGAGCTGCCGGTCAAAGTGGACGTTGTCCTCGAGGTCAGGGTCGGTGCCATGCAGGTACGCGTCGAGGATGTCGTTGATGAAGCCCATGTTGGCGCGAGGGTCCAGCCCAAGGCGCATCGCTGCCGCCACACCCGGTGTCATGTCGAGCACAGGCTCGAAGATATCCATGCCTTGCATCTCGGCCAGCGACACGGGTGGCCCGAGATACGACGCAATGTGGGCCACGACAGAGTCCGGCAGGCGGTTGTAGAGCCAGCGCTGGCGCAGGAGCTCTGGGCGGGCCACGTACAACTGCAGAAACAAGGTGTACTGGAAGATAGCACGGGGCGCCTCCGCGGCGCAGCTGTCGTCCATGCAGCCGTCTTCCACGATGACCGTACCGCATGGCTGGATGACATCCTCGACCTCGGCCGCAAGTTGCGACCAAAGCGACACGATGCACTCGACCGCGAACGGCTGCGACATGGGCGCGCAGATCGGCGACTCGGCGGCGCCGGCCAAGTTGGCGACGAGGCGGTAGCACAAGTGGAGGCCGCGCGCGCTCTTGCTCCAGCGGCGCAGCATGGCGTGCAGCGAGACCGAGAGTGTTTCCCAGCCAAAAGAGGCGATCAGCTTCGAAATGGCGCACGCGACGCCTGTGAACGAGTCGGCGTCCTTGGTGTACCGAGCAATGTCGCGCACAAGGTATTGGACCGTAGCAGTCTCTCGCAGCGCAATGAGCACGTCGCACAAGACGCAGAGGCTTTGGCCGTACGACGCACCGACCTCGGGCTCGGTGCGGTCGTTGAACCGGACCAAGAGAGCATCGAGAAGAGCCGTCATCGACGGTTGACCGAGAAGCGTATTTTCATCCGAACGGTTGCGGACGCTGTCCTGGAGCGCGTGGACGCCGGTCTCGAGGTCGACGACGAGAATGCGAGCGCATTTCGGCCAGAAGAAGAGCGAGTACCGGGGCCCGCTGTAGCTGTCCTGGCGCGGGTCGGCCTTCTCCAAGAGAAGGGCTTCGGCCGAGAGGTAGTGCGTGCGGTCCGCGACGACGTCGGGCAGCGCCGCACCGGGCACCTCCTGGAAGCGCCGGATCGTCGCAGCGTACCCCGTGTCGCCGTCGTTGAAGAGGTCGGCGTATTTCTCATGCTCGGCAAGCACCACGTCGTACGCGCCGGACTGAAGCAGCGCCTGCACCACGTGCTTGTCGCCATGCGTGAGCTGGTCGTAGGCCAACGTCGGGTTTGGTACTGACAAGCGAAGACTCGCAAAGTGAAATGGCCGAGGCGTCACGCGCGCCGCCGCCGCGAGCTTGGCCACCGCGTCCTCGAAGCGCGTCGACGGCGACGTGTCTACGAGGTCGTAGACCAAAAGCGCGCGCCGCCCGCTCGTGATGGGATGAACCGTGACGACCGTCGACGCGGCGTGGATCAGACAGTGCAGCCGCGTGAGATGTGAGTCGTGCTGCCACATATGCGTGGCGTTGTCGTTCGATAGGACCATCTCGCCGCCCGTAAACATGGACGGGAGCAGGAAGGCGACGGTGCCAACGCTGTTTGCACGTGGCGGCAACAACGTTGGCGCAACGCCAGTCGCATCGAGCAGCAAGTGCGACAGCTGCAGCGAGAGAGATGCTTGCAGCGAATACATCATCTGGATGGACTGGTGGGCCATGTCCAAGGCGTGATGCCAGTCGGCGCTCTGGATCGAGAGGTGCGCCGCCGGCACGACCGCAACGCCTGGCGACGTCGTGTATGCGTCAATGACCTCGCGCGCCTGGGCCCTCCCGAGCGGCCAGCCAAGCCACTC